CACTCGAGTGTCGGATATATTATAGTATTATTATACACCCGTCTCCGTAACGCCATAAGTTACAGCGTGCCGCAATTTTGTGTTATTTTACGGGATATTTTCATCCAACCATATTAGGAAATGCGAATTCCGCGTAAGCATTCCCGAATAATAAAAAACAAATGCTGCCACCAGGGTTTGAGCGGACTCCTTACAAAGAAGTTCGCCGATTCTGTGCTATTCTCAGCTGCATTCAGAACGCCCAGATTTTAAAACAGAATTCCTCTCACCCTATATTAAACGAACATTAATATTATGCGTAATTCTTGCAGTACGACTGGTACTTCCACGGCGCGGCACTCTTGCGGAAATATGAAATCCACTCTCTCGTAAAATACCATCATTGCTATTTGTTATTAAAGTGTCATGCATTTATCTATCACTCAGCTTCAATTTCATTCGAAGCACACTCAATTTGATACACACACATAAACCAGACTGACGATGTGGCTTATTTGTTGTATGTATGTCAGCGCCTGGACAGGATGTCGCCATCTCAGTAAATTAGCTGGTGTGTCAACGCTCGTTTAATCAGCTGGTGTGCCGGCAGCACAGTCAGTTGTCTATACAACTCGGACAGACTTCACACTCCGCTTCACGAAGGCATGAACACATGTTTAAATGTTGAAGAAATTTCGAATGACAGTTGAAATCACAACACCATAATGGGCACTGGCCGTATAGAATACTAATATATTTCCTATGCATGGAAGTAATTGAATTGAAAAAAACAACGCAAAAACTCATAGGCGTTACCTATATTTAATTTGAGATTGAATTGCATGATTGAGGCAATAAACACTTTCAACTATCGTGGTCCAAATTAATATGCACGTGGTATCTTTATTTATAATCGAGAGGATTCTCATGAAAAACTGGGAGCAGATGTGTATACAGTTTCCACGGTAACATGATTTTTGTGAAAATTTGTAGTTTACTCACAAACGTAAGAATGGATTATCATAACATTTCCAGGAGGTGTTCCGCTTGATACGGACGATTATATTTTCGTGTGAATGCTCATCTGGTTGCGACAATAAGAACAATTTTGAGCCAAGATTCAGACATGGCTGCTATGGATTTTGCATTTATAACTTTTATGAACGATTATGAACGAATTGTCTTGTTCTACAGCAACTGGAAAGCTTTTCTATGAAATCGGTTAAGTTTCCCCATTGGACACAATCAGCATAAAAAGCTCAATATCATGGCATAATTCAAATAAATATACATTTTATTCATTCAAAATGACTAATCAACAAGCAGTCGCATTGATTCCACTAATATTAATCTCACTCACCCATAATAATTCAATAATAATTTAATCAACAAGCAGTCACATTGATTTGACCAATATTAATATCAGTCACCCATAATAATTCAATCAACAAGCAGCCGCATTGATTTGACCAATATTAATATCAGTCACCCATAATAATTCAATCGACAAGCAGTCATATTGATTTGACCAATATTAATATCAGTCACCCATAATAATTCAATCGACAAGCAGTCATATTGATTTGACCAATATTAATATCAGTTGCCCATAATAATTCAATCAACAAGCAGCCGCATTGATTTGACCAATATTAATATCAGTCACCCATAATAATTCAATCGACAAGCAGTCATATTGATTTGACCAATATTAATATCAGTTGCCCGTAATAATTCAATCAACAAGCAGTCACATTGATTTGACCAACATTAATATCAGTCGCCCATAATAATTCAATCAACAAGCAGCCGCATTGATTTGACCAATATTAATATCAGTCGCCCATAATAATTCAATCAACAAGCAGCCGCATTGATTTGACCAATATTAATATCAGTCGCCCATAATAATTTAATCAACAAGCAGTCACATTGATTTGACCAATATTAATATTAGTCACCCATAATAATTCAATCAACAAGCAA